CATAATCCTTGCTCTTGCTCATTTCCACAAAGTTAGTCTGGAACCCTAGATTTGAGTAAATGGGGATTAACCACAGTAGACATTGTGAATATAAATTAGATTTACCATGTTATTACTTATAATCCAAGTAGGGAATTATGTAGAGTTCTTTAATTAAATTCGTGAAATGATATGTTATTTATTGATTGATTAACGTAGTTAGATGTTAAGATCGTGCATTTTTTTATTCATGGAATTGATTAATTGATGTGATTGTGGAATGACATTGGATATGATTGTTATTATTATGATTAGATTAGTCGATCAATATGGCTTGAGAATAATATTGTGCTTCGTTGGTTCTTTGACATGCTACATGATGTGGACTGAGGTATCATGTTGAAAACATAATGATTTATATGATGGATGGAATGAAAATCTTGAATGTCATGTGAGTTTGTTATGTAGCTCTAAACCTAGTAATTTCATGCTTATCAAGTTCTAATAATTGAGGAGTGCTATGCCTTTCTGCTTGAACGTACTATGATAAACATTGGAGTATAGTGAATGATAAACTACGAATGGCTTGATCCCTTCTTAAGGTATATAGGCAATCTAACGCAAATGTTAGATGCAACCATGAAATAGAGGAAATGACTGCATGGTTAAATCATTGATTATTTTTGGTCTTGTCTCGGAGACGAGACATGATAAATAAACAGGGATGTGCTACATCACGTGTTGATGTTGGACGTATGTCGGGATCGGGGCGTGACAACAGTTCTACAAGACGAGGCGTAAGATTGGTACACCCTATAGCCACGGTCAATCCCGTTCAACGAACTTCCTTAGTTTTCACCGAGGAATATTTGTCCTATTGAATCAAGAAGAAGTATTACTACCTGTCTAACATCAAGATTGACTCGAAAAAGATGCTCCACAATAGCTAAAGCAACATTCTTGGAAGGATTTCTGGCCGAATGTCTTTTGTTTGGAGAACTGATCATGTGTGAGGATTTAACCCTGGCAAACTCGTATGCTTTGGCCCATAAACATGCACTTTGGATGATGTTAGGTGAGCCAATAATGCACCTAAGTTAACCTCGAAATGACTCAAATGTCATTTAGAAGAAGATGGACGAGAAGTAATCCAACAACAAAAACAAGCCAAGAAATAAGTGCAGGAACTAGGGGTGGGCACAGGCCAGGCCAGGCCCAAATTTGGAGGGACCGGACCGGACCCGCTTAAAAAGAAAACGGGACGGGCCGGGTCGGGTATTGCAAATCTAATAACAGGAATCGGAACTAACTCGGCCCGTTTGAAACGGGCCGGTTCGGGACGGGTCCATGGGTCCTCTTACTTTTTTTTTTTCGGTTTTGACTAACAGAAAGAAGGCAAAACTCAGAACTTTCTCGACCTCCCTCTCTCTGCTTCGCTGCACTGAGGCACACCACCACCACGACGAACTTGCAAACAAATGGGATCTGGGTCACATGCAAGTTGTGGGCCAAAATGGGATATGCTTTAAATCATACTATACCAAACATTTGAAATCTTAATTCATATTCTGGTTTGCCAATTTGAACAAGATCTAAAATTTCTATTCCAATGGTATTTTAAGTTTGGTTTTCCAATCTGAACAAGAGCCTTTAAGTGACCTGACTTCATCACTTAGCAGCATAAACAGATCAAAGCAAGTAAAGTCCATTAACAAAAGTAAATGATGAGGTTAAGTCAAACATGAGCAACATAAACAGATCTAAACAACAAAAGCAACAAAATTTCATCACAAACTAATCAATTTGAGTCGAATTGAAATTCAATTGAACAACAAAACTTCAAAAAATCCAACAAAACCCACCAAGATCCAACCTTTTTAACTCAAAAATCAAATCCCACATCCAAAACAACCCTAATTAAGATCCCAAATTTTCGAAACCCGAAAGTGATTCTTACAAAGCAATCGTCGTCAATGGTGTAGATGTACTTCTTCTTGGAGACCATGTAGCCGAAGCATCTGCAAGCAGAGTCCTTGAAGGAGATGCAGGACGCCTTGGGACCCATAATCCGGTTGATGTCGTTGCGGTTGTAGAGCTCGTAGTCAAAGACCTCTGGGACCTTGATCACCTTCGACGGGTCGCCGTCCTGGACGATGATAAGGTGGTAGTGCTGGAAGAAAGGCCTCAACATCTCGAGGAAATCGAGGTTTCAGATGGTGAGGATGACGATGAGACGGCGAGAGAGAATCGAGTTCGAGGACTCGAGTGATAGAATCGAGGTCGAGGACGAGGAGACCTAAAACTAACAGTTAAGATTGGATGGAGAGATGATCTCTTAAATCTCGTCCGTCCATTGCAATTACAAACGGGCCGGTCCGGGTAGCTGTTTTTCTATACTTTTGGAACGGCCCGAACTTAAAATTTCAAAGCCCCGCCCCGCCCCGCCCCGTTTCTCTTTTTATAAATTAGGAACCGGCCCGTACCGCCTCGAACCTTAATTACCCGCCCCGACCTGCGGTTCCTATACCCGTTTACCCACCCCTAGCAGGAACCATTCCCTGAAGAAAGAAGGCTTAACGCCCAACACGTTGACCAAGTTCTCAGTCCCAATCTACCAAATCTTCTACAACTTCAAAGATGTACCATGGTTCAAATGGCCGCAACCCTCAAAGGTAGCGTGGGCGCTAGGCGGCTGGCCATCGCCATAATTAAACCCTAGGTATTTGAAAATTAAGAAGGGGCACTTAGACCTGTTTAGGAGACCTGCCTTGGTCACGACTCTCATTTAGACAGAAAATAGATACATTTTATTTTGCATTTTATTTTTTCAATAAATTGTAAGAGACTTGTTGAATACTTAGATTAACACTTATATGCTTGTTCCCTATATTTTCAATGATATTTTCAATGATATTTTCAATATATTCTAATATTTTATAATTTATATGTCATTCTATTTTATAATTTATATATCCTAATACAATTATATATATATATTTAAGTTTAAGTGGACACTTATTTATATATTATATAATAAATTTAATTAAAATTAAAAAAAAAACCGCTAGACCCCCACCTAGACATCTAGGTGTTAAGCTCATGTCTGCCGCCTAATTAGTGCCTATCCCTTTTATAACATTGATGATGATACATAATAAACGCTTTGAATTATAAAATTTGTATAGTAAAATAATATCACATTGTCATGTAAGAATGACCCAATATAAATTATTATAAGATTAGAACGACATTGATGAGCCCATCCCATACATCCCATACATGTCCTTTTCCTAGCAGAAAAAGTTCTTGAACCGAAGTGCACATAAAAATATAATATTGAACGTGACGTCTAAAATCAATTACTTGGGCAATTGACTTTCCCTCTCTCTTCCTTTTACAAATTCTGCTTGTAATTAAATTAAACTAAAATTAAACATCATTTGAATAAAGAAATCAATTACTCTCCAAATTCAACAGTTTCCCACTATTTAAAATCAAGGTTCAGTATTCCACTAGTGTCCTCTCCTTTCACCGATAATATGAAAATTGAAAAAGGAACAAAAAGAACTCATTAAAATCGCAAAAAAAAAAAAGGTGTTTATTTTTAGCAATGACACTTAATTTTGTGTCCTGGTTTACATTATTCTGTCAAGTCAATTCCTTCAACAAAACCATTAAATTGTTGAAGTGTCATGAACATTATGGTAAATTTCTTCCTTAAAAATCAAAATACAATGAAAAATAACCATAAAAAATGAAAAACAATTCAACCCCCACATCTTTCCTCCCTCCAGAGTCCAGACCATCTCCTCTCTCTCTCTCTCTCCTTCAATCACTGTTTCATCTTCTTGAACCTCATATGGTACTCTTTGGGTTAGCTAGGAAAAAATATGTGGTAAAGATAGGAGCAAATTTTCTAGACAAGTCAAATGCTTAATTTAATTTTTCTTCAAATGACATGAGCAACTTTCTTGAAATTTTCATCGGTTCTCTTTCTCCTTCACCAATGTCAAATGCTTAATTTAATTTTTCTTCAAAAACTGCTTAATTTGTGTAGCAACCATAAGGAAACGCTTGTTTTCTTTCTTGAAAAGATTTCCATCAGATGATTAAAGGAGATAAAGAATCTTGTATAAGCTTGGCATTCACTGCAAACCACCAAAAAAATGGCCATCGAAACACACTTCACTATATTTAATATAGGATAAAGTTCCGATTTAGTCCCTAAACTATTACCTCAGAAAAAATTAAGTTTCTGAATTATTTTTTTGGTAGAATTAAGTCCTAAATTCATTAAAAATTGCTAATTTCATCCTTACTATTATATTCAAAACTATTTTATCCAATCTTTCGTCAACTTAAGTCACTTGACATACTTTAGAGTGTAATACCGTTATTTTCTCGCCTATAAACCCTAACATTTATATAGGTTGCAAATCTAATGTCTAATTTATCCTCCAAAGTTAATTCCATACACTTTCTTTATGTGAATTACCAATCTATCATTCAATGTGTATCACATGCAAGTAATGTGACTTAAATTCACAGAAAATTGAATATAATATTAGGGATGTAATTGACATATTTTTATAATTCAACGACTATTTTTTCTGATAAAAATAATAATTTAAGACCTAATTTTCACTGGGACGACATAATTTCCATTCCATGTCTTCTGACTCCAAGGTAATATAATTTCTCTTACGGGAAGCTGCGCTGCAGCACGTATCAGATAAGAGCTTCGTCTGACAAAGAGCTGGAGGAAAGTTTTTGATAGACCTCTGATGATAAACAACATGATTTAAAAAGGGGGGCTCCAAATTGGAACGCCGGAGAAGAAATAAGGAGAGGGATTTCAGCATCACGGTAAATCATCGTTGAAAAACCTAATTCCTTTTATTATTCCACATGGCATCAACTAATTGGCCTTGTGAGCCTCACATGGTTGCCACATTAGCGCACTAGCGGATTTATTAACGGAGTTGGACGGCAAGGACAACATCGATAACTTGATCAAGAGATGAATGACGAAATTGATGAATTTGGAACATAACATAAAAGACCAAACTGATGAGTTGAAAACACACAATTCGAGACAGCAACCCATGAATACAGATTGCTTGAACCTGCCAATCTACGAAAACACAACCTAAATACCTCAAACTACAGTTGTAACAGAAGCGTTGTGAGAAGTGACACAACTATACCAAATTAATTTACCATCCCACAATCATACAACCTCGATCATTGTCCCCCAAACTACACCATTTGTAATTTAGTGGCAATAAATCACGAAAAAGGAGCAGTAAATAGTAGGAACTGCGAAGACAGGGTAGTAGTTTCGACACTAAATCTTTCCCGTAAGCACTCAGTTAAGGCCGCCATTGTCCCCCACTTACTCATGGTCTTCCAATGCAGTTAGAATCATCCTACAACAAATATACGAGCAAGAGAATGTAACTAAGCAGTAATGAACATAAAGAAAGGAATAATTTAAGGAAGAAGTGCAACCGTCTGAGCAACCGTACCAGAATATTGAGAGAAACAGGAGGAAAACAAGATAGAAGAGTTTGAAAAGCCGTATCTTCTTTTCTTTGTGAAGCATATTGAATATCTCGGTAACATCTACCAGATGATTCTTTCTCATATACCTAATCAAAAGAGAGGATGATTAGAACATAAAACAAAACAGACAGCACATTCAGTAGCTCAAAACCAAGTCACGATCACTGCACTAAAAGCATAAACGTGTCCATAAATCACGGGTATAGCATTATATGATCCATGAAGCTGGGGTTTGAGTCTCATCATCGAGCAACATACCATTTCCATGTAATAAAAACTCAGCAATGGTGTCTGAAGCCCTGGAGAAGCGTTCTACTATTTTTCTGGATAGAATATTACACACCATTTATATGAAATTTTGCGCTTTCCACCCCACTGTCACATATTTATATATAAGGGTGTGCTTATGTCTACAATTCTGAACAAAACTATATATAAAGAATTTAAACATATAGCTCTCGATCCTCAACACCCCCAGTCAACTCTAGCTTCTGACAGTTTCTCTTGTCGATCATCTCAACGATTATTTCCCTTTTTGTTTGATTTTCCATCGACTCGTATTTTTGTATATTTATCGGTTTTGGTAATCCTAGCTTGAACGTTTTTCCTTACTGTTGCTTAGATTCTAACTTTGCAATAATCACAATGCATAGCATCAGAAATATATAGAATGCACGAGAACTTACAGTTTCACATTATAATAGAGGTACGGACCACAAAACAGTGACATGCACCAATGCCCTGTTATAAGAAAAAGAGCGCACAAAACTCCTTCTGTGATATACTCTGGCAAAATCACTCTGTTTATCCGAGTTGAAGAGTCATAAGGGTTGATATAATCAAACTCAAGATCCGCCAGACACATCAGCTGCACCAATTTTGTAAGTGTTAAATTTCATGTTTCATATTGCTAAGCTATACAAGAGTAGCAATATTATTATACCACATAGATGCTATAGTGTGTATAAAAATTAACCATATATCCAGGATACCACTTCACACCAGATAAAATATAGTTATATCTATGTCCCAACATAATCTTAGCACCAGCCATTTCGATTCAAACTGCTGCCCTTACAGCCATTAGCATTACCATCGCCAGATTAATTGGCGATGAAGCTTCACAACAAGCTACCCTAAAAATAACGCAATGGGGGTTACCGATCCAAATCCAGTAACTTGTAAAACCAAAGGCAAAAAACGGCAGCAATAGAAAATCCCTAACTAGTAACTACCAACGTAAAATGTAAAAACCACGAAACTTTATGTTCCATGCATTACATAAGGAGTATGGAATTCAGCCAAAGATGTCTTCGACCAAAATTAGAAACTTTGCTGAAAGTTTTTCAGTTTGATAAATTTTCTATTGTCTGGCAGACAGCAGGAAATTCTTCCAACGAAACTCCTCCTTGTTGATACTGTGCTTAAACCGTGGTTAAACCATTCCAACCTTTGTCCTAAGTAAACATCCATGAATCTTGGAAAACTTAATCCCAACACCGCAAGAAACATAAAGAAACTAAGGGGCAGACGAACCCCATTCCAAAAGAATAATAACGTAAACGAACTAAAAAGAAAAAGGACCCTAAGCATCCTACATAAGCAAAAAAAAAATGCATTTGAATGATAACTAGTTAAGAACGCTACGAATTAAGCCATAACAATCCACGATTAAGCTCGAATTAAGCAGAAACCGACGTGCTACATCTCAAAAACACACACAACACATAATTTAGCCAAAAGGGAAAATGTATTTCAATCATATCTAGCAAGTACCTAATCTCTTCATTCTCGTATAGCCAAAATATAAAAAATTGACAGAAACACACACACATTCAGATAAATACGGAGACCCTTTAAACTAAAAGTGACATTTGGGTGATCAAGGCATAAAATTTCTTCCTTTTCAGGGATAAATGTGAAATTAAAATAAATAAATTGAAATTGAAATTGAAGGGAGGTTTGGGGAGGGATTGACCTGGAAAACAACAAGGGCGAGCAGGGCAATGAGGAAGAAGAAGGAGATGAGCCAAACGTAGAGATCTCCCATGCTCTCAGTCTCCTCTTCCTCTCTCAAAACTGACTCTGCAACTTCTGTGTGTGTGTGTGTGGGTGTTCGAAACTATGTGCGCACGATAGCAGCCCCACAGTCTGAGATGAACTAACAGAGGCAAATGGTGCGCAGTTCGCGCGGCTGGGTGGTTCTGTGGCTTTTGCTGCGGGTACACGGAAAGGATCGGAGCGGAATCCTATTTTTTTTTTCGGTGTTTTGGACGGTCGGAGGAGGAGACTGAGGATTCGGTACAGCCAACGCGGTGCGCCGAGGACGAATTAGAATTTTATTAATTCTTCCTTTTCAATAAAAACAAAAATAAGAGCGACAGTCACCATTTGTCACACGTTTTTTTACAAATAAAAAAGAATTAAATAAATGAACATGATGTTGCAGTCATATGTAAATCCTAATGTATCTAGAGATAGATTTGAATATTTCTTTTAGTAATTAAAATCTTATTAGAGTTGTAATTCTAAAAGTGTAAGGATTTAACTTATCATGCCATTATAAATAAAGGCACAATGGGATGATAACACACCTTACAATTAAATCTCTCTCTTATTGTCATCGGCCTCCTATCTCTATTCCCTTAAAATAGTTCAATCAAACAGGCCTACAAAACGTTATCAACCCGCTCTTGTCAGAAACTAAGGGACTGAAAGATCGTAGGAGGAGGCTCTCTTGTACAAAATTTAAAGGCTTTTATTTGTTTTCTGTCAATCAGGTATGCTTAAAATAAAGGAAGATATTTGGAACGTCCACGAACCATGAAAACTTTCCCCATGATGCATGAACCCCCTATGTTTATATTTTCCTTCCGATATATATATATATATATATTGTATATGTTTCATATATTTGTCAATATATATATGTTTCATGCATTATGCAATTATATTGCTATATGGAATTTGTGAGTCAAAGCATATAAATAAATTAGAAGCAATTTAAAGTATTTTAGACCCTAGAAAAGTTGAAAAAAATATATATATAATTTTAGGAATTGTGCGGCACAGCCGCTAAACCACCTTGGCATTTCTGTCGAACCACCGCCTCTGGCCTGAAGCCCAACCGCGTGGACCATATCATGGAACGGTGTCGTTTTGACACCTTCCACACGGCAACAGCCCTTTGGGCTTTGCTGCGCCGACCCAGCCCAAACCAAGAAGCCTGCAGCCTTCTTGGCCTTTGTCCCGCGCGTCCCTAGCCTAACTCTAGCAGCCTTTGCTGCTGGGCTTTTTCTTGTCCCATGATTCGGCCTGCCCGCAATAGTCCATAACTAGCTAGGCTTCATCCCAGCCCTCGGCCCACTTGCCCATAGCCTTTGCTGTTGGGCTTGACCAGCCCCGACCCAAAAATCCTAAACCCAGCTTCGGCTGGTTTTCCCTGCACCAACCCGCAAGTCAGCCTTGGGCTGGCTTGACCCGTGCATGGTTTTTAGGCCCAAAACCAGCAACCTTCTGTTGTTGGGCTCCCCAGACCACACGACCTAGAGGCCTACAGCCCTCTAGTGACCCAATCAGCATGCAGCCGAATTGCAGGGCCCACTCCCATGTTATTTTTTTGACGCAATGTCAATTTTTGGCATCCCCGCGTTATAAATCATGCCCAAAATATTTTTTTTGGGGGGTACTTTGGTTTACGCTAATTAATTCTAATTTAATTGATCACTTGGTTTATCACCAACCGAAGCTAATACGACCCGTTTGTCATTATTTTGCTTCTACGATTGATCCTGTTTGGTCCCGATATATTAAATTAATCAAAAGTGACCTGAAGTCCATTAATCTGATAATTAATCCAAAATTATTGACCTGAAGATCACTTTTAGACATTAACGATTCAATAATTTATTTTTATACTTTAAACCATTGACATCATTTCGTAATCCAGAAGCTCTCACACTTGAGTTCCTGAAGCAACTCAAATCCATTACACTTAAATCAACATATTGCATTATGTGTTCTTATAGGAACCTCTCTTTTATGAACTAATCATTCCTAAAACTAAATTGAACCTATAGTTTCATATTTAGTACCTTTGAAACCCGAAGTTTTCATTCAAAATTTACCACATGAAACTTGTAGCTTTCATGTTTAAATTAAACCAATAAATGTCTATAGAACCCGTATGTTCTACGATGTATGTCTATGGATTACCATATGACTAACCACGTTTTGTTGTACACTCGGTTTTAGGGACATGTCGAACTTGAAAATGATTGATTTCACTGCTCTGGAAGTATCTGGAAGAAACTACCTGAAGTAGGTTCAAGACGTGAAGCTCAATCTTACTGTAAAGGGTATTAAAGCCACCATTAAGGCACCTACGGACGACAAACCCGTCGATGAAGCTCAGAAAGCTATTGCAATGATTTTCATTCGAAGACACATCCATGATGCTCTACAGACCAAGTACCTCACTGAGGAGGGCCCACACACCATTTGGCTTACTCTGGCCAACTGTTTCGATCACCAGAAAGACATTTACTTGCTTGAAGCAAGGCATGACTGGCAGCATCTACACTTCTAAGACTTTAAATCCGTCAATGAACACAACTTTGAAGTTTGTAGAATCCAATCACTGCTTAAGTTCTGTAAAGTGGACTTAACCGAATCAGATCTCATGGAGAAGGCCTGTTCGACCTTCCATGCCATCAATATTGTCTTGCAGTAACAATATAGGGCGTAGAAGTTCACCAAATTTTCGGATTTGATGTCTATTTTACTTCTCGCTAAACAGTAGCTTTTGATGAAAATCATCAAGCTCGACTCACTGGCTCGAACGTCGCGCCTGAAGCATATGCGACTAATTCTAGCAGCCACAAATGACGTAAAAATCGTTGTGGCCGTGGAAATGGGCGGCAAGCTCCACTACGGGCCCAAGGTCAATAGAGTTAAGGCCTACCCAAGGGAGGAAATTTGACCCAAAAGTGTCAACCCTTGCCCCTAAGGCCAAGTATCATTTCCGTCGTGAGTTTAACTTTGCGCATGTGGAACATCCCAAAGATGCTACTACATCCATGGCGATATTAGATTTTCAGGAGGCATCAACTCTTAAGGACGACTAAGTTTGTATTCTTCTAGACATGTTTTTAGGGTGTTTTACTCCTAGGGGCCCAACCCACTAGGAGTGGCCGAACCCCCCCCTAATTTTTAGGTTTATGGTTTAATTTTTGGACAATTTTTCTTAAGTATTTGGAATAATTTGTTTGGTTTTGATTTGTTTTGAATTATGAATATTATTTCTCGAATTGATTAATTGAATGAATGGAATTATATGTATGCATGTGACCAATTCAATCAATTTATTTCTAGGTATGTCTAGTGAGGAAGTTAGTTGTCCGGCTGATAGTGCTACCAAGCACACCATATTGCGTGAGCTACACTATTTTACTAACTTTGTACCTAAGAACACACATCTGACAACTCTCTCAGACTCATCTAACCTGATTGAAAGATACGAAAATTCCCGTATAATGTTGTCTAATGGTATTGTCTTAACCATTAAAGATGCCTTTTATTCTCCACGTTCCGTAAGAACGTTGCTGAGTTTTAGAGATATTCGAGATAATCAATATCATATTGAAACCACTGAAGATAATGGATATGAATTTCTTTGTATCACTTCTTACGAGTATGGTCAGAAGCGTATTCATGAAAAGTTAGAATGTCTTATGAGTAGGTTGTACATAACAACCATTTCCGACATAGAAGCCCACCATATGGCCGGCCCTGTGCTTGAGTTCTAGAGCATTTTGCTACTTTAGCATGACCGTATGGGACATCCCGAACGTGATATGATGCGCCGTATCCTCAAATCATCACATGGGCATCATTTACCTCCTTACATTGGATTCCTGCCATGCAAAGCGTGTTCTTTGGGGAAGTTGAATACTCAACCTTCAATTACAAAGATTATTCACAACCCTCCTAAGTTTTTTCAAAGGATTCAAGGGGATATTTGTGGACTTATCCAACTAGCCATTTCGCTACTTTATGGTGCTGGTTGATGCATCGACACGATGGTCACACGTTTCTATTGTCCACACACAATGCTTCATTTGTGAAACTCCTAGCACAAATTATTAAGCTAAGGCTTTACCACCCTGATTATCCGATCAAGTCGATTCGACTGGATAATGCTGGAGAATTTACGTCACAGACTTTTGACGATTATTGCAGGTCAGTTGGGATTGATATGGAACATCTTGTACCCCATGTTCACACCCAAAATGGCTTGTCATAAGCTTTCATAAAGTGCTTTCAATTGATAGCTCGGACTTTTGGTTATGTGAACCAAACTGCCGGTATCTGCCTGAGGCTATGCAATATTGCACACAACTATGTTGGTTCGCACGAGGCCCACCGCTACCCAACTCCATTCACTGTTACAATTGGTTACTGGATACGAGCCTGGCGTCTCACATTTACGTGTGTTTGGGTGCGCAGTCTATGTGCCAATAGCTTCGTGACTACGTACCAAAATGGGTCCTCAAAGAAAAATAGGAATCTATGTCGGTTATGATACGCCATCAATATTTTGCTATTTAGAGCCCTTGACAAGAGATCTCTTTCCCGTACGTTTTGCGGTTGTCACTTTGATAAGGTAGTATTCCTGTCGTTAAGGGGAGATAAGCATGCTAACGTTTCTGGAGAACTTTGCAAATTATCGTGGTATGTTCCCACTATGACTCATTTAGATCCCCGCATTGTCCAATTTGAAACTAAAGTGCGATGAATTATAGATCTTCAGAGCATTGCTCAAAGAATGTATGATGCTTTTACTGATCTAGCTAAGGTGACAAAATCACATATACCCGCTGCAAACGTACCTGTAAGGTACCACGCGTACATTGTAATTCCACTTGGGAAGGCTGAACTATCCCCGAAGGTGGGGAGGCCGCACCATCCACACGACTCGGTGCATTGGCGGCTAACTAATCATCTGCTCCGACCCTGAAGTGTGGCAGACCCCTTGGTTTAAAAGATTCACAACTCCAAAAGAGGAAAACGACACCAACTAGTGACCCTAGTTTGAATCTGACCATCGCTCACTCATCTATTCCAACGCATGAGGTTATTTTAGATTACGGTGATGTCTTAGACAAAACAACCCGCCCTTCCAAGAATCGCGAGATTTCGATCCACTATGCAGTAGTGGATGAGGTTTGGAATCGGAATGAGATGAATGTCAATGATGCATATGCGTACATAGTAGCTACTGACATCATGCTTAGTGATGACATTGAACCACGTTCTGTTAATGAATACTGACGTATAAT